GGGAAGTTGGTTTGTGGATTTTTTTTGCTAAAATAGCTATAAAAAATAAATAGACTTTTTAGTCCAATAAGAGAAAACATCACATCCAACCCATAATCATTACATTATTTCTCTTACAAAAAAGTCAAAAAAATTAAAAAAGTCAAAAGCCCTTCCTAAACCAGACTTTTTAACCCCAGGCTAAAATAGCCAAAAAGTTAAAAAGCCAACCCATTCCCAAACAGAGCTTGTATTTTGAGTTTTGAGTTGTATTTTAAAATTTTTTGGATTTATTTTTTTAAAATATTTAAAAAATTTCTTAATTTTATTTTTTTAGGGTAAATATTTTATATTTTATATTTTAAATATTTATTTATTTATTTATTTTAATATGCACATATATTGCGATACATTATGTGTATGTATTTGTTTCTAATATTATTTTTTTAAAATATATTATTTTTATATTTTTATTTAAATATTTTATTTTATTTTATAAGTATATTTTTAAATTTTAATTTTGTTTTTGTTAGTGTTGTATTATTTGAGTGTAGAATTTGAAGTAGTGTGGAGTTTTGATTATATGTATTGCTTATGAGTTTTGAAAAAATTTGAACTGAGTTAATGAATTAGGTGAATTATTTGTTGATTTAAATTAAAATTAAAAATTAAAATATTACAAATAAATAAAATGTTTAAAATAGAAAATTTAAATAAAATTAATGATTTAAAATAAAAAATTAAAATTTTTAAAACATTTTTTAATATTTAAAAAATAAATCCAAAAAATTCAATAATAGCTCAAAATCAAAAACTCAAAACTCAAAATGCAACTCAAAACTCTTTTCAAAACTCCAATTTTTTTTTTTTTTCAAACAACAATGATTCTCCACTAAAACATCACCACTAATAGCACTATATGCATTAAAAAAGTAAAAAAAAAAAAAAAAACACAAACTCCAAACAAACATCACATCAATGGTGGGCCCACTGCCACCTAATTAGTGGGAACTAATTATGTGCTCCCAACATTTTTTTTTTTCAATTTAAAATCTTTTCAAAACACTTTTCAAAACTCACAACGCCTTCGTTGGAAGTGGGTTGACTTTTTGACTTTTTGGCTTTTTGACTATTTTAGCTTGGGGCTAAAAAGCCTGGTTTGGAAGGACTTTTTACTTTTTTGACTTTTTGACTTTTTTGGTGATGTGTCTTCCTATTCATTTACCAAAGTGCCCTTGTTGTTGTTGTTGTGTTTTTTTTTTCTTCTTATTTTCTGGTTTGGATTTGGCTTATTGTTAATTTCTTTTTTTTCATTTTGGGTTTGGATTGCGATATTTGCTTAAATTTTTTTATTTTGGTTATTTTGGCGTATTTGGTAAAATTTATTTTTTTATTTTTTATTTTGGTTTGGATTGCCGTATTTTGCTTTATTTTTTTTTTTAAATTTATGTTTTTGTCATTTTTTTTTTTATACTTAATAGTTCTTGTTTTTTAATTTACGTTTTTTGTCTTAATTATTTTTATTGTATACAATAACATTTTTTTATTATGTGTTCATTCATTTGAAATTACGTGGCGAATGGTAATTTATGTTTTTATGTTTTTTATATATATTTTTGAATAAGGGTATTTTTCCCGATTTTTTTAAATTTACGTTTTTGTCATTTTTTAAGTTCGTACCACATTAATTTGTTTTATATTTCAAAAATTGTTTCACGTGTTTATTTATTTGTAAATTACATGGCAAATGTAATTTCTGGTTTTTTTTTATTTTTTGGATGAGTTATTTTGTCTTTTGTTTTTTTTCAATTTACGTTTTGTAATTTTTAATTCGCCTAAATATTTTTGAATGAGCGTATTTATTTAAAATAATTTATGTATTTTAAGTTTTTTTTGAATTGTTTTCATGTGTTTTTTTATTTTATTTTTTTTATTTATTTCATTTTCTGTGAATGATAAAAAGTGAGTTTATTTTATGCCCTGTGTAATTAAATATATTAATTTTATTTAATTTTATTTGAAATATTATTTTTATTTAATTGTAATTTTATTTTAAATATTTAATAATGTAAATAATCTAAAAAATTTAAAAAAATAAACAATTTAATAATAAATATTCAAAACAATTATTTTAACAAAAAAATTTAAATAATTTAAATATTCAAAAAATTTAAATAATTTAAGATGTTAATATTTTAAATTTAAAAACAACTCTACACTCAAATCGTAACCAAACACATAAAATAAAACTCAATTAATAAATTATTTTTAAAACTCATGACCAAACACATAACTTGAAACTCCATACTACTTTCAGAAGTCTACACTGAAATAATAACCAAATACATAACAAAAAAATTAAAATATTTAAAACTTTTGTTTTTTTTGGATGAGTCGTATTTTTGTTATTCTTTTTTTAAAAATTTTCCATACACACTAATTTATACAATTTGTTAATACATATTTTTTCATAAAAAATCAAAAAGTTAACCCAAATATTCATATTTTTTTTTCAATTTTGTAGTAAAAAAAGATTAAAAGTATACTTATTTAGGACACTATAAACAATCTCTTAATATAATATTTTATTTTATTGAACTAAAAAATTTATTTTTATTTTTTTATGATTATTTTAGGGGGAAAAAAAAACCCAAAATCCTTCCATGTCAAAAAATAGTGACAGTGGGTCAGTACCCCAAAAGTCACGCTGAGGGAACAATGCCAAGAATAGCTTCTTCTGTTTTTTGGGTATTTTGGTAAATTTACCCGACAAGGGATTGAACCCAACACATTGATTTCTGTTTTGTCTGGACGTGGCTAAATAAGCCTAATTTGTCCGGACGTGGCTAAAATAGCCTCAGTTTTGCTTCCCAAACGGTGCCAACCAACCAAACAAATTTTCTTTTTTCAAAACTTAACTCACAATTCCACACTCAAATCACAATTTCAAAAAGAGAATCACAATTCTAAAATTAAACCAAACGCAACCTAAAAGTTGAGAAAATATCATTTGTGACTCACAATATCATTTGTAATTTGGTATGAGTTACATCTATAATGAATTTGAACCACATTTTATTTTTTCGAATATTCTCAAACTTCGCTAAAAACTTCCCTTTATTTTGAGGTAAAAAATATCATTTGTGACTCACAATATTTGATCCTTCTCAAATAATAATTATCATCTTGCAGTTCAAAATTTTTCAAAAACTTTAGACTCTATACATTTTAATGAGATTTTATTATACTAAGTTTTTGAAAAATTAAAGCCTTCAACAATAAAAAAAGAAAAAGAAAAAAGAAATTGAGATATTTTTGAAATTGACAATTTTTGGTATCAATGAAGAGCATGGAACATCCAATTAAAAATTAAACATTTGAGCTGGACACTAGTTTGATTGAAATCCTTGTTGATTCATGTATTATGTTAGTTCCAAAGCATTTTGAATGATTTAGATAAGTATATTTTTTAATTTTTTATAAAAAGAAAAAATTTTAAAAATAAAGAAGTGGTATAACGTAAGTAAATACACTTATCTAAGAAAATACCATATTAATCTAAGATAAGTATAAAATTGGGACATGCCTTGACATTAATGGACTTTGAAGTGATTTGTGTCCTTTGAAATGTATGGTTGGCTTAGCTTTCATCATTCTGAATGCTTAGGATATACAGCTGTGTCATCAATTTTGATATGGGGGTGGCTTAGATAACACCTCAACCCACTTGGTTATTATCGATTTCAGGGTTTAGAAAATGCTGGAAGGGCACTGACTGTGGTCTGGTGTTGAGGCACAATAGCAGGCCCCACTAAAATATCATGTTTCAAATAATTTGTCCGTTGCACAATTTGTGTTTGAATTTTTTTATTTTTTATTTTTAAGAGCAGAATTGGCTTGTCAAGAAGGTAAATTATGCATCTATTAATTATACGTGGTATTCGATTTTTGTCATTATTGTACGAGTATAGAAATTTTTTTCGTATAATTCTGTTAATTATGTTTGCACTCATTCAAGCGTTGTTGTTTTGCTACCTGAAAACACAAACGCGAGCTAACCGACAAGTGTGTGTCAAAAACCCTTCTGATGCCTAAGTTAGCAATTAGACAATAGACAAAAAGCTCTATGTATTTAGAGTAAGAATTGAAATACATGTGCATAGATCCTGTCATGAGTTTTTATAGATTTCGCTTGGCACAATTCTAATAGGATTTCAACTCTCTTTAGCAGAATCCTCCTAAGAATCACACTTCAAAGGATAATGCCTATTTTGATAACACGCTACTCACTACCAAGTGAGATGGTTGGTACAATCCTAGTAAAATTCTAACTTTCCTTAGCAGAGTCGTCCTATGAGTCTCATGCTCAAGGATAATGTTTATCCTTAGAACACCCTCATCACTGCATGCTAAGTGAGATGGCCAGACCCTTATGCTTAGATATACATTCCTAATCGAGCTACCTTATCTCGGTCCTCTGCTGTTCAGGCCGTGCGACTGGAAGCCGATCTACCGAATGGCACCCTGTCGAGTTACATATAACTCGGCCCTCTCTATTGACAACATCTCGATCCGATAAATGACTACTGTGACAACCCTCACCACTGTTTACTGATAATACCACTGATTACTGCTAAACTGTGACTAAACATGATTAAGTAACTGATTAGACTGACATTCTGAACTGATTGATTGAGTGTATTAGTTTAAACGCATTTCTATCTGTTTGATTGTTAATTGATCTGTTCATGTTTTAAGTGTCAAACTGTGAATTGAAAGCCTTATCGGCGGCCGAATCTGAAATTGATTAGTGTTTTGTGTCAATTAGAATTAATGTGATTTTATGGTATGTTTAATTGAAATTTGATTCGGAATGATTAACTTGGATTAATTAGTGTTGAACTACATTAGTTGCATTAATTATCCTTTTGCCATGTTAGTGGGCCACCTTGTCAATACTTGTTTGGACTTGATTAATATACATTTGGCATTGTATCTTCAGCCATTTTGAAGACAAAACCGAAAGAGAGAGAGAGAGAGAGAGAGAGAGAGAGAGAGAGAGAGAGAGGTATGAGAAAATTGAGTCCATCTAGATTTCTTGTTCGAATTTGGAAGGATTGAAGAGTAGATAGCAATTTTGAGCTTCCATTCTTGAAAATGAGGACCTAAGGTAGGAGAATCATCTTCTTGAACTTGAATTCTAGTTGTATCGTATATGGTCCATGAGCCATTAGTGATATAAGTCTAGACTTGGTTTTAAATTGTTGAATTGAAGCTTGAATCATGCATGCATGTCTACATTCTTGAATTTTAAGGTTGTTTTCATAGAATCCTCACATACATGTCCATATTTGGGTTATAGTTCATGAATTCATCATGTTTTGGAAGGATTGGCTCCTTTGATCTTGTATTAGAAGCTTTAATTTCAATTGAGCACTTGCATGTTACATACACTTTATGTTCTTGAAGTTTATTTGAAATTGGGTTCAATTGAACTATCTTTGGGCTTTGATTTTACAAATTGATCTTTGAAACATGTCATATTATGAGTTTTAAAGTATTTTTCAAAAAATTGGCCAAAAGAATCGAATTTGATGCTTTAAATGTTGAGTTTCATGCTTGGAAACAAATCTAGAAGTTCCAGATTTTGGATCCACGCTCGAGCGATGAACTTCACGCTCGAGCGTACACTCTGAGTTCATGCAGTCAGCTCGAGCGAGTAAAGTAACGCTCGAGCGTGAAATGTGTGTATCCAGTACTTTGCATGTGTTTATAGTTCGCTCAAGCGAGGGAATGCACGCTCGAGCGAGGACTTGTGTCTCACGCTCGAACGGGGGTCGAGCGCCCGTCGAGCGTGAATTTCATGCATCAAGTACTTTTGCAGTCTGCTCGAACGAGGAAAGTCACGCTCGAGCGTAGCTCTTTTGCCTGCATGTCCGCTCGAGCGGAGAAAGCCACGCTCGAGCGAGACCCCTGTTTTCTGAAAATTTTGAAAAGTGTTTTAAAGTACATCTTTGCATCCTCATTTCATCCTAGGCATTCCTAGGCCTAGTTTAAGGCATCTTAATGAGGATATTGATGTAGAACCACACCGAGTCAAGATAGGGACTAAGTCTTTGATTCCCAAGTGTATAACTTAGTGTGTGTTCATTCTGTAACTGTGTAGGGTTGACATCCGAGGACGCTCACTAGCCGCTATTAACCCAGTGCTCTGTGAGTAACAATGTTGTAAAGATATATTCAATCATGAATATTTTCTGAATGATCAACTGTACGGCTTTCTGAAATGATATTTCTTACTGAATGAATGCTTGTCCTATTTGTGAATTATATTCGTGGCATCCATAGCAATTTACTGTTACTATACTGTACTGCTACTGTCACAGAGATCTCTATCGGTTCCTATGTTGGGACCACTACTGTTTACTGTTATGATGGCCATCAACTGACTGTTCGGTCTGTTAAGACCTACGGTACTGTTTGCTATTAGATGTACCACTTATGACTGCTATGATCGAATAACTGATATATTGTTCAAATGACTGTTTTAAATATTGAAAGAACATTCATTCCTAACCTCTTTACGCATATGCTATTCACTGGGCTTTAGCTCACTGTTTATATATATATATGTAGGTGTCCAGGCACCAGATCGAAGGTAGGAGCGTTGGGTTTAACTTCATTTTTGTCAAGCCAACCACTGTGCCTCACTGAGAGGTTCCAAGTCCTTCAAGCTAGGGCTTTTTGGGGTGCTTTAGATTTATCATTTTTGTCTCTGTTTTTGTATAGACTGACTGTACTTGTACTGTACTGTTCTAATAGGGATTAGGTCCCTGTCCTGGATGATTGTATATGCATGTATATACTGTTTTGGTTCTGAATGTGAATATGTATGAAAAGTCTTCTTTTTTTGCATACAGACTGTCACAGCTCATTGGACATCTTTTATTACTGTTTTGGCTTACGACAGCCCCTGTACTCTGTATTACTGTCCTTACTGTTAAGCAGGCCTTCGGTAATCACGAATTACTGACCGGTTACGGTGCTAAACCCATAGGGGCAGGTTTGGATCGTGACAACTACTTTCAGATAGCTGAGTCCAGGACCTAGCAACCCATCTCTGACCGGCCTAGTATCTTTTTAGCCCAAGACCGAACTACACCAGCATTTATCTCGGCCCATTGTGCGGCCTAACTCTCAAAGAAGACTTTTCCTAACTTGGCCCAATTTGTTCACAAATTACTCTCTAAATTATGATTATTATTTATTAAATTTTATGGTAATATCATATGTAAAGTAAATCATTAAAAAAAAAAAAAGAGTAAAAAAAGGGGTCAATCATGCATCAACCGTTTTAGACTTTTAGGTGTTTTTATTTATTTATTTATTAATTAACAAAGTGTAAATTTCATTAAAAATATGAAATTACAAGTATAAAAAGATGTAATGCATTGAGAGAGATTTGAAATGAACAAATTATCCCTATTACTACTACTTGCATTCATACAATCAACCTTTTAGCCTCACATTTTTTTTTACGTGGAATTTGATAATTAATTATTTTTAGTTTTTAAAAAAGCTTATACAATTAATGATTATTAAACAATTTTTTTTGTTAGTGCAAAAATTAAAATTTTAATTATTTGTTAACTGAAGATAAATAAGTTTTTACTTTTGATTTATTTAGTTAAATTAACTTATTTAGTCGAAGGAGACCCTAGAGATGATGGAGATAAAAGTTTCACTGCCTCAAAATGTGAAAGCTGCAAATTAGGAAAATTATCAAATATGAGTACCATACTTTCGTTCAATGAAAAATCATAATGCACGTTAAGTGAATAATTTTTTATCTCTTAATTATCTAATAGATGTGGATCAGTATTATTCATTTGTAAAAAAATTAATTATATCATTGGTTTGAAGCACCGAGTGAAAATACTACATGATGCTCTAGGATTACCAATGCAAATTGGAACCATTTTGGAGTCTGTAGCTAAAAACCTTCAACAATAACTAGATCTGGAGACTCACCACAACTTCATATTGACAATTTATATCGTTCATATTGTAACACTTGAATATAAATTATTTATACAAGATAAGATTTATGTGATAATCGTAATTATACAATTTACTAGTATTTGACTTTTAAAAAAATACAAATGAATTTGATTTACCCAGTAAAAAAAACTTGTCACCTTTAACAACACTTTCTATATGTATATATGAAATCTACGTGTAATGGAATAATGGGCAATGGGCGATTGGCAAAGTTAGTTGATAAGTGCATTCTTAAAGTTTTGTAGATACAATACAACCATCATTGTCAATTCCCTAATTGGGTTAATAAAAAACACGTATCATATGCGAGTTTTATTAAAATTTGAAATAAACTAGCTGGTGAATTACAAACACTCTCTGAGATTTATTTAAATTATAAATTATCTTACATGATTTTAGAAATTATATTATGTCCCTTCAGATTTCTCATTTCATAACAAATAGGCCATTTTATTAATAAATTATCAAGTTAATTAATAATTTTTAATAATGTTAAAATTTTATTTCAATTAATAATTCAGATAATTTTATTATTGTATAGGTGAACAGTTAGAAATTTTATTTTTTTAATTAATTTTGTTAAATAAAAAATTCTGATAAGAAAGTATTTATAATTTTTTAAATCACAAAAAAATAATTTATATTTTAAATAAATTTTAAAAAATATGTTTGTAATTTATCTTTATTTCTATCATCAACAATGATAGAGACTACTAATTTTAGAGCTCTAAAAAGACCATTAATGGCATAACACTTAATAAAAAAAAATACAACACCGAAACTAAAATATTAAATCATTCATAATAAAACTTACTCTCACATCATTAATGAAAGCACTAATTAGTATTCCCACTTATTTTCCTCGTATCATATCACCGTAATGCAACTCTAAGCCCTAGAAATCCAACTGCAAACTCTAGTATAACTGAGTGAAACCTCGCTCTTAATGATTATAGGATCGTGACCCCACACTGAGTGATCTTAATGATTATAGGATCGTGACCCTCCAACAAACCTAATCTCTCCATCTGGGGGAAGTCACATCTGCCTCTAAATGACAACCCTGCTTACATAAGAAGACAATCTGCCAAATTCATTCTATCATGCAAGTTGTTTTTTGTTTTTTGGCAACAACAAAAACAATATCGGGAAAGATATGTGCATATAATTGGTGTTAAAAAAATGTTCAAAAAAAATAAATGTATGGATCAAGTTTATATTTAGATCAAGTTTGACGATACTAAAATAATTTATCTTTTTATCTTTTTTTATCACATCATCTTTTTACTTTTCTGCACATCTTTTCGTAAAAAAATAAAAAATACACTTATTTAAGTCATTCCAAACAATCCATTAAAATCAACCTTTGATCACAGAATATTACTTGATATATTTTTATATATGAATTTTGTGTACGTAATATCACTTGAACAATATATGATTTAAGAGGAAGATATCACCAAATATTTATAAAGGATGAGATTTAGGCCAAGTTTGACAACTCTGAAAAAATTTAAAAAGTCAAAAAGTCACTATCCTATTTAAATCACATCATCTTATTTAAGTCACATCACATCTCTAACACATCACTTCAAACCCAACCAAAACCCAATCCATATTTCATAAAAAGTCAAAAAGTACACTTATTTAGTCTTCCCAAACTTGGCCTTATTATAGGGTCCACATAATATGAGAAGCATGATCTTTTAATAGTTTTGTGATCTATTATGCCTTCGTTTGGAATATGAGTTAACTTTTTAATTTTTTGACTACTTTAATTTAGAGTTAAAAAGTCTCGTTTGTGATGAGTTTTTTAACTTTTTTAACTTTTTTAAGAGAAAAAATAAAATAATTATAATTTAAATATGATATGATATTTTATCTTATTAACTTTTTAATCTATTTTATTTTTATTTTTAACTATTTTAACTCAAAAAATTAATGCCAAACATAACTGATAGTCATTTGTTTATGCTGTAGAACTAACGCAAGATCGTATAAATTGGATCCCTTTCTCATTTCCCACCTTAACTTAATCAAAACTTCCCTCATCATCAATTCTCCCAAACAGAAATGAAAAGTTCATCATTACACCAAATTTCTCTAGCAGCCCTTTTCAGTCTCCTCCATTTCACAACCACCATGAACTCATGCTTGGCCAACAACACAAACAACAATACTGAGTACATCACAAAGTCATGTGCCACCACATTGTACCCTCAATTGTGCTACAAGTCCCTATCAAAATATGCAAACAAAATCCAAACAAGCCCCAAAATCCTAGCCATCACCGCCCTCTCCGTGTCTCTCTTGGCCGCACAATCCACCTCAAAATTGATCTTGAACCTGTCAAAAACCCCCAATTTGCGCTCCGGTGAGGCAGCTGCCCTGGCCGATTGCGTTGAAGTGATGGGTGACTCAGTGGACGAGCTAAAAAGATCTGTGGACGAGTTGACTCGTAGTAGAGGCGGCTCTGATTTTGAATTTGAAATGAGTAATGCCCAGACTTGGGTGAGCGCGGCGTTGACTGATGATGACACGTGTATGGATGGGTTTGGTGGGGTGGCAATGAATGGGCAAGTGAAGAGTATAGTGAGGAGGCTTGTCAAGAAATTGGCACATTTGACTAGCAATGGTTTGGCTTTGGTTAACAATTATGCTAGCTCTCAAGACCACCTAACTTTGAAAGGTGATGCCCATCTCTGGGGCTGAATTTTGATTTGCTCTGCTGCTATTAGAAATGTTTTTTCTGTTTCTGTTTTTTATTTTTATTTTTATGGTGTGAAATTTGGGAGGTGGGAAAGAATTGTCATTTGTGATCAGATGTTCTAGATGAAACAATAATCTACCAGTTTCATCTCTCTTCATATATCCTAATAAAATAAATGTATGATATAAATTTAAGTTTAATATGATGTGAATTACATTCAAAATGAATGTAATCCAGACATTTTATTTTCTATAATTATTCGAGTAAATTTTTTTGAAGTCGGTAACAATATTTGAGTAATTTATTTATTGTTAATTATTGGAAAAAAAAAATTGCATACATAATTTTTACATAAAATTCAACAAGAATTATGTGAGAGTGCCATTTTTAAAATTAAACAATAATAGTGGATATTTTACTTTGAAGTAAAAAATTCTCAAAAGATCACATCATCATTTTGCTACATTAATTTTATACAAAACTTTTATTTGCATATGTTAATCTTATGTAATTTCAGGTTAGATTAAGATATACACTTTATATATAGGGCAAATTACAAAAAAACCTCAAGCTTTTGCGTGTTTTTCAATTTAAATTCTAGGATTTCAATTTTGACTAATTAAACCCTGGAGTTTCTTCCATGTTTCAATATGAACCCTCCGTTCATATCTGTTTGATTGAACTAATAAAATCAGGATAAAATTCTCAAATTCAAATAGACATACTCAAACACTTGTATCTCCCTCGCCGTAACTCCATTTCGCCTCATTTTTGCGTCGTTGGATTCACCTCATTGCATAGTTTTCATTCCATCCCTCATACGCCTTGTTCCATCTCGTTTTGTGTGCCGTTGGAATTTCAAAAATAAGATTTTTCTCTCTTTGAGCAAAATTTTTAAATTCAAACACACATGTTCAAGCACTTATATCTCCTTCATTATAACTCTGTTTCACCTCATTTTTGCGGCGTTGGATTCACCTCATGGCTTAGTTTTCATTCCACCTCTTATACGCCCTGTTCCACCACTTTTTGCGTGTTGTCGGAGCTCCGAAAGTTGGCTAAAAATAAGATTTCTTTCTCTCTCTCCCTTTCTCTCTCTCTCTCTGTGTTTCCTTTTCTTTCTTCGTCTATCTTATATCTCTATACTTCTTTTTTTCTCATTCCTTTCTACAATTATTCTCTCTTTTCCTCTCCTTTCATAGCCCTTCCCCCACTCTTATGTTTCTTTCCGTTCTTGTAAGTCATATATATTCGTACTCGACGACACTGCCACCGTCACAGGTTCGATGGCCACCACGAGCTCGGTGGAAGGGCCATGAAGGAAAAAGAAAAGGAAAATAGAGAATAATTGTGGAAAGAAAATAGGAAGGAAGAAGTATGGAGATAAAAGATATATAAGGGAAGAAACAAATATTATTTTATTTTCGGCCAACTTTTGAAGCTTTGGTGGCATGCAAAAAGAGGTGGAATAAGACGCATGAGAGGTGAAATGAAAACTAGTCCATGAGGTGAAACAGAGTTACGATGAAGTAGATACAAGTAATTGAACATGTGGGTTTGAATATGAAAATTTTGCCCAAAGAAAAAAAAATTATTTTTGGCCAATTTTCAGAGCTCCGACAGTATGCAAAAAGATGTAGAACAAGGCTTATGAGGACTGGAACGAAAACTAGGCCATTAGGTGAATCTAACAATGCAAAAATTAGGCAAAACGGAATTACGACTAAAGAGATACAAATACTTAAACATGTGTATTTGAATCTGAAAATTTTACCCAAAGAGAGAAAAATCCTATTTTTGGCCAACTTTCGGAGTTTCAATGGCATACAAAACGAGGTGGAATAAGGCGTATGAGGGATAGAATGAAAACTAGGCAATGTGGTGAATCCAACGACGCAAAAATAAGGTGAAACGGAGTTACGACAAGAGAGATACAAGTGTTTAAACATATATATTTGAATCTAAGAATTTTGCGCAGATTCCGTTAGTTCAATCAAACGGATATGGATGGAAGGTTCACATTAAAATACGGAAGAAACTCCAAGATTTAATTTGTCAAAATTAAAGCCTTACAGTTTAAATTAAAAAATACGCAAAACCCTAAGATTTTTTATCTTTTTTTTTAATTTGCTCCCATATATATAAATTCTATTTATAAATTACTTTTCTCCTTCATACTTGTTTGAAAGTGACGCATCAATCAATAATAATCTTATCTGTATACACAACTAGGGCGAGGCGGAGGACATTGGGACGGCCCGTTTAGGCCTAACCACAGATGCAGTCCAGCCCACATTTAACAGGTTGAACTTGAGTCTTGAAGGAAAGGCTAGAATAATATGCATCAATTGAAAATCCAGTGGGCAAATACAGTGGGCCGCCTAGGCCACAGCCACCACCAAAACAGTTTTTATTTTTTGGATAGAAAATCCCACTTTTGTTTTTGAACAGAAATTGAGGATATAAATTTGATACGCGGCATCTCTACAGCCCTTAAAAAAAATAAAAATAAATTTTAAATTTTATCAATTTAAATCTTTTTTTTTATATTTATTTTCAATCTAAATTATTAATCTATTTTTGTCAAATACCATATAAAAAAGTACTTTAGTCATGAAACTCAATATAAGTGTATATAAAATGTCTAAAATATCCTTTTTAATTGAGTTTAATAATTAAAATATCTTTTTTTTATTATTATCAATTTTACTTAATGAAAACAAACAAATAATTTAAATTGAAAATAAATAAATAAAAAATTCATGGCTTAAATTAACAAAATTAAAAATTTGATGTTTATTTTATTACAAGTTTTAAAGTTTGATTTTGATTTTGATTTTTTGTAATTTAACCCCAAAAAAAAATTCTTCTTACCCTATAATTCCAAATAAGAGGATATTAAAAATATAAAAAATAAAAATGAAGAGGGTGCTCACTATGCTTGGTTCCATTTTTCTAAAAATAGTTTTCAGAAAATTTTATTTTCTTATTTTTCGTATATTTTTGTTTTTACTGAATTTTTTTAATATTTTAAGATTTAAAATAAAAATCTATTTGAGATTGAAAGAGAGAACCAAGAGAGGGTGGAAGAATAATAATAATAATAATAATAAATAAAATAAAAATGAAAATGGAAATAAAATTTGATCAATCCCAAGGCCAATTTCAATATTACTCCCTCTTTCTTAAAATATTAATTCTTTTAGGGAAATTTAATTTTTTTAGTAATATAATTATTACATTTCAAAAATTTGCTTAATATAATTATTACATTTCAAAATTTTGCTGTGTTTGGTTTAAATTTTTTGAATTCAATTTTTTTAAAATCGAGTTTTTTATTTTTCGTATTTTTTTTGTTTTTAATGAACATTTTTAAAATTTTAAGCAATTTTTTTTTTTACTTTTTTAGATGCACCTTACTTAGATGCATCTAAAAAGTAAAATATTTGTAAAAAATCAATAAATACACAAGAAAACAAAAATATAGTAAATCCCCATTTTTTTATATTTTTGGTATTTAGTGAATTTTTAAAAGATTTTTTTAACAAATATTATACTTTTTAAATGTATTTATGTTAGGTGTATCTAACAATTTTTTAAAAAAATGGTTAAAATATAAAAAAAAATTCAATGAAAAAATTTTAATTTCTGAAAAATGAATCTTGAATCCTGAAACCAAACAAACTGAACTTTCCAAAAGTATGTTTTGGTAGTATAATTATTACATTTCAAAAAATATTTATTAATGAATTTAAAAGAAGGAAAAATTAAAAAAAATCATATTATTTTAATTCTTGATTTTTGAAAAAGTATTAATATTTGAGATAATGAAAATAGAAATAAGGGATTAATATTTTAGGATGGAGTATTAGTTTTTGGAAAATTGGTCTAACATCCTTCTCCAATTTTTAGTAATGAGAGAGGTTCACAATAAGTTTTTTTTTTTTGTAGTCTAAAGTCACTCATCCACACTCATGTATAACACATACTATCTCATTCTCTCTCCTCTCTCTTCTTGCACCAAACAACCCTTCTCTCTCTTTTCTCTTCGTCCGCAACATTGTTCAGAGCTTCATCAACATTGACTACGACAGAGGAATTCAATATGGTTTTATTGCTAAAATAGTGATATCAAGATGATTGCTTGCCTTGGGAAAACTAGTGCGACGAGCCGAATTTAGATCCAAAATTTTAACTGCTCCAAATTTTGTAAATATGTTTAGTAGATCCTCATGTTCTATGTCTTCATGTACTCCACTAACAAATATGACCCAACCCTCGCTGCAAGAATTAAAACAATAAGTAGAAATCAAATTTCTTCAAATTGGTATAAAAGTACTAAGAGGATAAAATCTACTCATGATTATGTACAGTCATGAACTCACGAAAGATTGAACTTTGAATTATATAAAAGTAGTAGGTCATAACAGATACTTTTATAAGGTTTTCAGAACCATATGAATAAAAAAAATTACAAGGAGGGAAAAAGATCAAAGCAGTGCTTTGCCATGATTAGTACAATACAATTTAAAAATGAGGTCTTTATAGAGTGAGATTGAGATCTGAAAATTGGAATTAGAAGAATAAAAAGAGATTTACAGATATAGACACTGAAATCAAGTGAGAGAGAAAAGAAATCTGAGAGAGAATTGCTTTGTCTTGTCTTTCTCTCTCTTTGTGTGTAAGGGAAATAGACGTGAGGTGTGAGAATGAAGCACATACGGGTTGTATTACATTAAAATAGTAGAAAGAGAGAGAAAGAGATTTACAGAGAAATTTGTGATTAGTTAAAATAATTTTTTTTAGATCACTTCTTGATCTACTTGGGTAACAATGTCTATATATAATTCATGTATCATATTTTATATTAGATGATTTTCAAGAACTGATGAAGGGGTTTCTTTTTGCTGCAAGATTTGTTTGGTGCAAATATGTGGATACATTGGAATCAATTTTCTCTAGTTTAAAGTTATGAACAAATACAAAGAAATTTGGGCTAAAATTTCTCTAATTTAGTTAGTAAAATTTACCTGGTTTGATTAAAATAATTTTATCTGGTTTAAAATTGTGAACAAACACGGAGAAATTTGTGAACAAAGATGTTTGGTTCATTTTTTAGAACTTGTTTTTTGAATTTTTTTTTTTTGAAAAATTAGTAATTAGTTTAAAGTTCTTTCTCTTGTTAATGCTGAGGTTCTTTCACTGGGAATAAATTCTCTAGAAAGAAATTCCCAGAATTTATCTGGAGAAAA